GTGTGTGTGTGTGTGTGTGTGTGTTTATGTACGTATGCATGTGAGAAAGAGAGAGAGCGAGAGAGAGAGAAAGAGAGAAACGATACTTTTTGTGAGATTTTGTTTGGCTTATTTTGTTTGTACGGCATCTAATAATACGTTAAATGATCAAATGAACACCTAACAGAATCTCTGCTCCTAACAAAATGCCTTCTCTGATCATGGCATGACTCACTTGACTGACTAATCCGACTGTTTTATTGTTCGTACTTTCTGTTGTTGCTTTATTTTGATAAATTTAAAAAGTGTTTCACTGATAGTCAATGTTTCCAATGTTTTGGATAAATAATATTACAATGGTTTTATTAGAATTAAAACATTTTGTCACCACACATTATCACTTGACCATAATTTGTGTGAAATTAAAGTAACAGCGTAACGAAAGGGTATTCTGATGATATATTATTTAATATAACTTGTCCTGTTCAGATTTTTTGCATCAAACAATTAAGCTGACGATTATGGTAATGACAGAAAAAAAGTGATAATAACCCCCTTCCCACACAGCCCTTGTCCGTTCCAACAGTTTAGTCGCAATGTGCTACTCCACCCCCATACCTACTCCCCGTCGATAGCTTTTTCTGTAAACAACATCCTCTCACCTACTTCCTAACGAACTTTCATTTAATGCATCCGATCTCGTGCAAATAGTGAAACTGAATCCGAAGTAAGTATATCCTCTCTCAGTTGATCACAGTATCGTTGTTTTTTTGTGGGGTTTTTTTGGGGGTTTTTTTTTGGGGGGGGGTTCTAATTTTCGTTGCAAAATGGCACACAATAATTCATCAGTTAGGAAGATTGTTTGCAATAGGTTTGCATAATAAGAATCGATATCATCATGAGCTCAGAGCTTATATACTGTATGGGACAGAGCGCAATGTAGACATAAATGCGATCTGTAATTATTATTATTATTATTATTATTTCTGTGTCTGAACAAGCTGACCTGTGTTTCTCATTTGTTGCCCCCAGAAGCCAGAGCCGAGGGTAAAAGAGATCGAGGAGGACCGGATTATGCTCAGACCCATTGGGCCTGGCATGCAAACATTGGAACCGGAGAGCGCACACACAGGAACTCTTGGCCGCCCTACTACACCAGGCTTCCCTACTGCCCCTGGTGAGTCTTTTTCCTATTCTCGTCGTCTTCTCTTCTCTACACATCTGTAGTCAAAGCGGGCTTGTCCTTGAAATGCGCTTACTCCTAAGTGGCTGACACTAAGTTTTTTTTTTTTTTTAAGGAATTGTTTGAATACTCACTCTCTCTCTCTCTCTCTCTCTCTCTCTCTCTCTCTCTCTCTCTCTCTCTCTCTCTCTCTCTCTCTCTCTCTGCATCTATCTATGATTTTCTCTGTCTCTCTCTCTCCCTCTCTTCTTCCGCCCTTCCTTCTTCCCCCCTCCCTCCCTCCATCTTTCCCTTCCTCCCTTCCCCCCCCTCTCTCTCTCTCTCTCTCTCTCGTTCTTAAGCCTGTTGCAAACTTGTATGTAAGCCATACAGTCGCCACAAATACAACCAACAGATATGAAGTCTGTCAAAGTAAAGTGCAGTACAGTACATGTCAGTCCTGTTAGTACAGTATACTTAAACATGATCTGTTGTTGATAGTGACGATTGGATAGATTTTTTGAGATTTTGCTTCTGGTTTTTTGCTATATGTTGGTGCTTTGATGGGGATTTTTTTATTTTGCTTTTCCATTTTAAAGAACACTTTGGGTTTTAAAATGCAAAAACGCTTTCCTAGTTGTTTGTTTTTTATGTTTTTCCTCTTTCTGCTTTTCTCCATTCTATATTTTTGATGTCATTTATTTTTAGGGGTTTTGGTTGTTGCTTGTTCAAAATCGATTCTCGGTGTCTGGCTTTTGTCTTCACTGTTCCTCAGAGAAAAAAAAACCCAACTATGTCCTCCCTTGGGTGGATTTGGTTTAAGGGGGGGGGGGGGATCCTATAATATGAAGACACTTTTTGATATAGTGAAATTATGTCGACAAGCCATGCCAAGTATCCTAGTAAAGGGATACTTCTACCCTTTCCATTTGTTTTTGTTGTTGTTGTTTTTTGTGTGGTATTTTCGTGACTTTATAGTCAATATTTTGCAAATAATCTAGTGTTATGGTCTTGTGGATATTGTGGTCACATAAGTTGATATCGTACTTCAATGTGCTTAACACTGTATTCTTCACACTTTTCTTCACACATTGAGTCGGTCAATGTTTCAATTTATTAAGAGACGAATGTTTCACAACAGAGCTAACCATGTTCATCCAAAAAGCATGCTGTCCGGTTGAATTGTGTTATTTGGAGTGTTTGTAAAGCTGCATAAAGTGTATTGGTCCAGTAGATAACGTATGTTCCTTGGTGAATAGTTATACCTGCAGTGCCGAATTTGACAAGAGTGAAAATATAGATAGAGAATAGACTCGTATTCCCGATTGTCTGTGTGTTGTGCGTGCGTGTGTATGGACGTGTGCGTGTTTTGACGGCAGTATGCATGTCATGTGATAGTAGGTAATAAGCAGTCGTTTTCTCTGCTTGATTTAGTACATATGTATTTTTGATATGCACATCAAAAATGTTTTGAGAGTAGTAGAACAAGACTTACCATGAGCATTCGTGTTCATGGCGTGACTTGCGTTATGAGCTTGAATGTCAAAATGCACTGATGCTGGGAAGAAGATCCACGTAAAATCTTGTTGACTGAACTCTGAAGCATAAGCATTGTACATCCTTTGTGGTAGTGAAGTGAACCAACCTTCCAGTTCAGCAGTTTGATAGATCAGATCTAGGATCAAAGCATGAGTCGCTGGAAAAACATAAATAATTTTATAATTAGGTGTGGAAGTTCTTTTTATAGGGGATCTGGCAGTCGTGACCGCCTGGAAACTTGCTTTGTTACGACTGCCGAAACTTCTTTTAGAAACTTTTTTTAAAAATTAAAAAATCCAAGACGCAGAAACAATCAGTTTAAAGATCGGCTCAAATTAAGATGATGATTTTTGTTCGTTTGTCTTTGCTCAAGCCTAGATGGGGATCGAAGATAGCCTTGATGTCTCACCACATTCGCCCTATGGGGTCCCTTTTATTTCTGATGTCTCTTCGTTGAGATCAATACAATTTTATCTTATCCTATTTTTATCTTATCTTAAACTATCTTTGCACCGCACTGTTGTTGTTGTTGTTGCTGCTATCACATATTGAGCAGTTGTGAGCCATTATGATGGTGACGATATAGATCTAGGTGTTGTGCCGGTTGCTGATGTCGTCACAGTAATGGTTGTTGTCGTTGCTGTTGTCTCTGACTGCATGTGTTTTTGCCACCACCAGCAACCCCTCCCTTCCCCGTGTCGCCCAGGACGCCTTACCAGAACCCAGGTAAACGGACTCCAAATGTGCCTCACGATACAAACTTTACTTTTCTATCTCCCCTGTTTCTCAAAATAATAAATTCTATTTTTGTAAGAGTTCTTCATTGCGGTTGAGTTTTCTTTCTTTGCAATCCTAAAAGCACCTAGTTTGATTAACCACTATTGGCAGCGTCGGCTTGGTTTTATTTTAGAAGTGATGACCATTATGTTACTAAGGGGTGGTTATAACGCTTTTGTTTTTGCCAGCATTCGGCTCTGTGATCCCAGCACTGTACTGTACAGTACAAGCCAATGTTGTATAATATGCTTGTAGTTGTTGTTTTTTCTCTTTGCACTAATATTCTTAATGCTTTTTTGCGGCTGTCGTTAGATTATTGGGGGTTTTCTATGTTGAAGACTATTGATCCGACAAACGGATTAGTGGGGAAAAATAATACTAATGATAATAATAATAGCAATAATGATTTGGGAGAAAGATCAATCCTTAATGGGCTTCCTAAGACTGAACCGTGGGTGTGAATTTAAACAAAATGTCAGATTTCAATCATATGAGATGAATGATAAGTTTGCCGAGTCCCTTTATCTATGAAGCAAACAACAGCTTAAAAAGATGCACTCTTAGTGCCCTCAAAAAGGCAAAAGCATTCATCATAAGTAACACCCGTTATGTGAGGTGCACACTAGCGGTCCTGTTAGATTCGCCCTCGGAACATCCTCTCCGTCTTCCACTCTCCTCGTCTGTGTGCACTGTGCACCGGTAGTGTTTATTACACGTCGTCTTCTATCTCGCTTCCCAACACCTCTAATTTCCGCACCCTCTCTTCGATTCTGTCTTATCTTCGCCACCTCTCTTTCTCTTCCTCCGTCCCCATCCTTCCCTCCTCCTCCGTCCCCATCCTCCCCTCCTCCTCCTCCTCCTCCTCCTCCT